AGTTGCTTCCTTTTAGAAGAGACAAGAATTTTTATCAAAACCCAAAGCTCACATTCTGGCATGTAATAACCAAAAAATAATAATAATAAGGAGGAACAAATTTCGCGTCACATATAGCAACTGTCACAAAAGCTAACCTGTTCGATTTCATTAAATTGCTGTCTTTTATCATCTTCAAGAGCAACACCAGCAAGAACAGCCTCCTTAATTTGTTCTGCAGAACACAAGTAAAATTGCCTCTCAATAAAATGAGATTACAAAAGTCCCACACAATATGTTTGCATGTCCAAGCAGAAAGGAAGTGAACACTCTGAAATTATTGCTTCAACATATAACTTATTTAACAACTCGCATGACAATTAATGCAGATATCGGAGAACACATTTAGACACCAATAAGTAGAATACAGAGTCAGAGTCAGACACTTAAAGCTAAAAAGCCCAGTATTAGATGAGAGAAAATTCATGAGATAATTCACACCAAAATATATACTTCATCAAAATTCGAATAAACATCATCTTTACAACTAATACATAACTATCAGAGTTCAGAAGACCAAAAAACATAGCGAATCCTCAGCTCAATTTTCTGTTCAGTGGGGGCCAAGGAGAAGCTCGAACTACCTCCTTCTACCTAAAACCTAACCACCTGATCTAATTTGGAAGAAAATTAACATCTGATGAAAATAAAAAAAGTATCAAAAAGAATATTTATCATAAAACTGCAGAGACTTTCTCCGATTATTGAAATAAGTATACATAAGATGTGAACAGGCACTTCTATGTAACCCAGAGAGCAACTCAAGCAACTAAGCATGAAAAATAACATGCCAACAGAGACTAAACAGTCACAAGAACAGTAGCGTGAGATTTTTAAATTACTGACTTTCAACTATACGTTTCCGAGCATCACTTAATGTCTGCCAATCAGGAGACTGTCGAATAGCTTTGAATGCATTATAGATAGGTTTGCTTTGCCCCACCCTAAGAAGAAACTTAACCTTTTCCGCCTGCAAACCACACTCAAGCGTTGTTAGCACAAGAAAAGTAGTGTCCAGCAATTTCCCGAAAGAAACACGCTAACCAAAACTAGAAGTACTCATTTGATCGGCCGTAGATATAGATAAAAGGAAACAGATTAACATCGTGCAATATGAGAAATACTCAGACATCAAGAGTGCAGCAAATGCATCAATCTCCATTAAGCATTGCATGATAAACCACAAATCAAGTATTCACAGACAGGTATGGCATTACGAATGCATAAGTTTGGCCTACCAAAATGATGACAACAAAAACAGAAAAATACCTGAACATCTTCAATGGCAGAACGGAGGTCGGAATTGTCCTTGACGGCCTTGAGATGATTGACAATTCCCCAAGCAACGAGCAACCGGTCTAAAATCCTCTCCAATGGTTCGACCAGCTTGGGCCACGAAGGCTCCACTGTACGCTCCAATTCCTCCAAATCAACTTCCTAAAAACTCACGTTCACGCATGCAGTCAAAATCGATGGCATAAAATCGTAGGATCCGATCATCGCGAACGCAAACAAGCAACCACACTAACAAACACAATCGAAAGAAGAATCCAACATGACAGAAGGGCAGGGGAAAAAATCAAACCAGCTTCTTCAGGAGGACCCGAATCCCAGGTCGAACGTGTTTAGCTTCGACAACATCAAAAGGGGGAAACTCAAAGTCCTTAAGAAGTGGGTTTCCTTCAGGGGTCTCCTCTAATGGAGGGGTAGCCATTGATAGCGCAGAAACGGAAGAGCAAGTGAAGGAGCAAGAGAAGGACAGAGGTGCAGTGGACTTGTGAATGGCTTCAAGGCAAAAGGAGAAGGAAGAAGACCAAAGAGGACAAGAATGAGACTGGGGGGAATGTTTGGGGGCTTTGGAGAAAGGAAGAGAGTGAGGAGCGCGCTTAAGGAGAGGTTGGATGGAACGACAGAGAGGGAAACACGCAGCCATGAGCACGTTCATTATAAGAAGGGCACCTAGCAGGGATCCGTCCCTCATCCTTTTACGTTATTCTAATGTTCCGCGGGAAAAATCTTCGGATGGACCTTGAGTTCTTGACTCATGCCATTTATCCATGTCCATGGCATTCGCTTGAACTTCATTGACTTCAGTCAAAAAGCGGGAGAAAAAATCCTCGCACTCTCTCGACTTTTTACGTTTTTATTTTAAAATCATATTAGAAGTAACTATATATTTTTTAATTTTTAAATTATTTGATTTTATTTTTTTCAGCAGTATTAGCTCTTTTTGTTCTATTAGTATTTTTAAGCTCTATGCAAGAGTTAATAATATTAATAGAGCAAAATTAATGATTTAATTAAGATAAAAAAGACATAAGTATTAAATTGAAAATTGAAAAAAAAAACAGTATAAATATACCTTCAAAATGGTTTTTATTTGTATTTTTCACAGCATAATCAGTCACAGGCATTTGCCAGGAAAATTGCCGGCTAATTAGACGTTTGTATGTATGTTATAAATTTAGATCTCGTTGTAATTCTGATATATACGTTTGATTTAACTTAAAAAGACCCTCTCCATGTTAAAATAAAATACTCATTTTATCTTTAATGTAAGAGTTACTCCTTCTGTGTCTTGACATGCAAGACTTCTTTTTTTTTTTTTGCCAACTAACAATTGATTGGATTAATATAATTTTATTCCTTCAAGTTAATTCTCATTTTGATTCTGTCCATTCAAGTTTCAAACCCTTAATTTTGGTCCTTCAAGTTTCTTTTTATTTAAAATATTAGTCTCTATAAATTAACAAAAACTTGAATTACTTTGCCTTTTGAGGAATCAAAACCTATAGTTTAAAATTTAAGAGATCAAAACTAAAATTGAGACAAAATTGAGGGACTAAAGATTATAATAACCCTAATTAATTTGTAGATGTTAAAATAATTAATTTAATTATTTGCAACAGATATATATAGTGGTTTTCCTAAAATGTTTTTTAAACATATGCATTGTAATTATCACTTAATAAAAATCTCCTTACTTTGAGGGGGGAAAATATAAATTTAAAAGATAAAATGAATTAAAATATTATATTTAGAACTAAAGTAAATTCATTGTCTAACTCTTATATTTAGGACAGAGGTAATACTTAATTAATTTTAATAAATTAAGAAAGTTAGATAAATTAATTGAAAAAACAATAAATATATAAGATAAGATAAATTAAGATTTTATATTCTAAATCGAATCCAACTCTCAACTTACTCTTGCATGAGGGATCTGACGAAGTAAGAATTAGTCAAATGTTTTTGGATTAACATTAAATCTCCCCAGCATAGATTTTTCATGTCACTAAAAATTCAATCCCAAAATCCTAACACCTTGGTCAGCCGAATTATTAACCTAAAAAAAGTTTTGTTATGAATCAAATACAAGAAGAAACTATGAGCGTAGTTATTTGGGAGGGATGATTAAGGTCCATCGTTACTAGTGTGCATGCAACATGGTCATTAATAATATCAGAAGCCAAATACTAGAAGTATATTTTGGTTTTGTTGTGGGGGGACCAAGAGTTCTCCTTCTCTTTTGTCAACGAGAGTTCTCTTTTTCTTTTGGGCCAGGAAAGAAAAAGTAGGTATTATACTACTTCCGATCCTAATTATAAGAGCTAGTTGACTAATTTGAAGAGATTAAGGAAGTAAGTTGAATTAGTTATTTATCATAAATAGGTGTTGTCTTTCCTAAAATATCCTTGTTAATCAAGTGTATTGGTTAGAACTACCACTGTTAGAAGAACTACTTTTTTAAAAAAAAATGTATAAATATGAGAGACAAAATGGATCGAGAGTCTTATATTAAGGACCAAAATAAAAGTTAAGCAAAGTCTTATATTAAGGAAAGGAGGTAGTAGTATTGTAATAAAAGGAGCAATATGCAATAGGTCTATAAGACATAAAAAAGAAATCACGATCCTACATTGTACAAAAAAAAATTCAGTAAACATATCGGAAACAAGAAATAGGGTCATCAAGCCACGGAATAGTACCATCCCATTTGGAGTTCTCTTAATTGGTCATCAATGAAACATGACAATGTTATTGAGGAAGCTTAGAAGGAGATGACGTTGATGATATGGATGGAATTATACTTGCGGGCATGTAAATTTTGATGGGAAAATTGCTGAAATGTTTTTCTCGCAAAATTTACTGTTCAAAGGCATATAAAGGGTTAAGCTCTTGAATAAATGCAACTCCATGCAACTCTTATTCATTTATATTCAATATATCTTTAGCTATATATAATGCATTGCACATATTTAAAGATAAATTGTGCGCAACTAAAAAAGAGTTGCACCTATTAAAGATAAAAATTCATTTGAAATAATTTATAATCAGTTTTTTAATATTAGTATGTAAAATAGTTGAAACACGCATTTGTAATTTTGTTGCAAAGATGAATAGATTAATGACTAATTATACACAATTTTTAGTGCAATTTTATTATATGGCAAAAGATTCTACAGACCAATAATAGTCGTATTCATGAACTCATGTTTGAACAAATGCTCTCGACTGATGACAATTTGTAATTTTGCTAACAGTATCGGTAACAAATATTTTTAATACTAAGAGATAATATTATTATACAGAAGAATTACAATTAAGTCTCATAAAAGACAAAAAATTACAAAACAAGTTTTAAATGTTGTCATTTTTTATTGTAAGACTTGTTATTATAAACTACTTATATTGTTTTTTGGACCTTTTAATAATTATTTTTTTGGACTTAATTGTAATTTTCTTTTATTATAATTATAAACTTTTACAGTGATATTAAATTTAAAAACATTTTTAGTCCTATAAAAAATGATATCAGTCCTAAATATGGAAGTTAATAGAAAAATTGTTTTGATACTTCAATCTTTGCCATACAATTAAACAAGTTACTCTTAGAAAATCAACTCGGAGTCTCGGACCAAGCAAATGAAAACGAAGGAGTTCTCTGGGAACTGCTTGAGGATAATAGGGACAGAGCGACAGAGATTTTGCTGAAACCTCGCCCCTTGGATTCCTTGGGCCTCTGCTATGGTGGAACTAGCTGAAAGTCTTAAACCAGTGAGTCAGTGAACGGTAGTCCGAAGGTGGCTTAATCGAAGGAAAAAACCGATGGGTTACGAGATTTCTGCCTTCGTCTTCAATAGCACCACTCCCACTCTCATCTCCTGCCCTGAAAATCACTCCCCACGCTGTCTTGTAATTCCTTCCTCCTCCTCTGCTTCTACGTTCTTACCTTCCAAGCTTTACCCTTGCTCCAAACACGAAGCTAGGAGATTAGCACGGCAGAATTTCGAACCCCAGACTCGCCTATATGGCGACCGACTCTGTGAGTATTCCTTGTTACTTTTAATGCTGTTTTGGTTTCCCTCGCGAGTTTTTACTTCTTCTTTTTTTTTTGGTTTCTTATCATGCTGTATTTTCCTTGTGCTCAAGATAGGATTGCGAAATGGAGTCCTCTATGTTTTTATATTTTAATCGTATGCGTGTCACTGTTTACTAGATTTGGGTACTAATCTTAGGGGGGTGCCAGCGAATACCTATTCAAGAAGAATCTATTTTAGTTGAAACCGGAAAAATGTTCGTGTTTTGTTTTGATTAAAAAGGAAAATTATCGCGTTACTTCTGTTTTTGTTGTTTCTTTGTGCCAGCAAACTGTGAGAAGAGGGTATGGCTGTATCCCCACCCCCTCCCTCTTCTTCCTTGATGGTGTACTTGATGACTCCCCCCCCCCCCCGGGGGGAATGTATTTTTCATGGGTCACTAAAATGGGTGAATGTGTGTAGGTCCACTAGCTAGCAGAGTATCCTCTGCTCAAGTGGAAGAGCAAAAGGAGGTTGAAATTGTGGAGGGTTACAGTATGACCGAAATTTGTGACAGAATGATAGATGTGTTCATGAATGAGAAGACCAAATCAAAGGAATGGAGGAAGTATTTGGTATTTAGAGAAGAGTGGAATAAATATAAGGATAGCTTCTACAGAAGGTGCCAGAAAAGGGCAGACATGGAGATTGACCCAGTTAAGAAGCAAAAATTCATTTCACTGTGGAAAAAGATGAAGAAGGTAAAGCAATGCTATCAGTTTTTCTATGTTACGCCCCTTGCAATTTTGGATGCTAGGAAATTTAGTATTTTGGCCTTGATGGAAAATTAGGAAAAGCTAAGAATTATCTTCGTTCAAATTTAGTTTGAAAATGACATCTCAAAAATTTTATTTGAACTGAATAAATGAGAGCAGATAATTTGTCTAGTGATTACCTCCTGAACTGATAATATCATCTTTTTTTCTTCTTTAGGTTTGACTTAACCTCTTTTCTAGTTGTAAGCTTTTTTAGAAGCCAGGAACCAAATAACTATCTCATATCTAGAGTCTAGACACTTGCTTGATTTTAGAGCTTCCTCCTCGGTTCTACTTGATCAGGTTTAAGCATTGCAGATTGATGATGAAATGGAAGAACACAATGATCTACTCAAGGAGGTGCAAGATAGCCCTACTGATATAAATGCCATTGTTGCAATGAGGCGTAAAGATTTTACAGGGGAATTCTTCCGTTACCTATCTCTCCTTTCAGACACATATGACACCTTGGAAGACCGAGATGGTAAGCATGTGAATGAAAGAATTAATTCAAATCTGGATTAATATTACGAATAAATAGTGATTGTAAATTAAATCTAGTAAACACTAGAAGGAAAGACATGTCGCGTGATGGTTAAGGATACTTGTAATCAAAGTGCACAGCTCATAGTCTAAGATGGGTGGGACATTCAAACTATATGTTTAGTAGAAACTGTGTAAAAATGAACTTTCTCCATTATGATGCATCCAAAAGAAAACCTAAGAATTATTTCTTAAGCTGCCTTCCTCAATTGATTGGCCCGTTTGTTGTGCAGCAATTGCCAGGCTTGGGACTAGATGCTTGGCAGCTGTCAGTGCCTATGACAACACTTTAGAGATTGTGGAGACGTTGGATCCTGCACAGGCCAAATTTGATGATATTCTCAACTCACCGTCAATTGATGCGGCATGTGAGAAGATCAAAAGCCTTGCAAAGGCAAAGGAACTTGATTCATCATTAATCCTCTTGATAAATAGTGCTTGGGCTAAAGCAAAAGAGTCTTCAACACTGAAAAATGAGGTACAATTTTAGAACACGATTTTCTGTGGATTTCTCTGGACTTGTGTTCCTGTTGCCATTTTCACTGAATTGATAGTGTTTATGTTAGTGTAGGATGGGAAGTGTCCAAGTCCTTTTCAATATAATAAAGTATAATCAGTATAAAAAGCTGAAACAAAGTAAAACTTTATGCTGCCAGGCTATTAAAATCTGGAGAAAATGATGCAGAACCAAATCATTTATCCTTTTCAGCATAGAGCGCATGGAAGCTTAATTTTGCTTGCTGAGAAGAAATATGTTTACACTCCTTCTGTGTGCTCAAACAACATTTTTCTATTCTCTGCAGGTGAAAGATATAATGTATCAATTGTACAAGACCACAAAGAGCAGTCTAAGGAGCATGGCTCCTAAAGAAATAAAGCTGCTTAAGCATTTGTTGAATATTGTAGACCCTGAGGAGAGATTCTCTGCATTAGCAACAACTTTCTCCCCTGGTGATAAACATGAAACCATAGACCCTAATGCATTATACACGTAAGGGAACATCCTTTTGCTTCATTTTAAATTAGTGATTTTTATCATCACTCTCATTCTCCTATTCTTGATTAAGCAGGACCCCGAAGGAGCTGCATAAGTGGGTTAAGATCATGCTTGACGCGTATCATTTGAATAAAGAAGAAACAGAGTTGAGGGAAGCCAAGCAGATAACTCAACCTGTGGTTATTCAGAGGCTCTTCATCCTCAAGGAAACTATTGAAGAAGAATATCTGGAAAAACGTACACTTCAAAAGTCTGATGCAGAAAAAGACTCTAAATCAGAAGAAGAAGAAGAAGAGTTTTAAGGTACTTCACTTAAAAATGCAAATTTCCCTGCCCACTCGCTTCATTGTTTCATGCCTTGAAAGTAAAAAGGGCAACAGGGAAAGCGGGGTCAAAGAAGGAAATGATCAAGTAAATGTGCGAAAGACGTTTTAAGTGGCTACTACTAGCAGCTGGGGCCACAACTTATCCGCATTCAAAGATATATGGGGGTGTAATCTACTTTTTTTACAATGACATTTAGGGGAATTAAATTTCAAGGGGTCATTAGTGTTAGGACAAGCCATGGTGTAATTTTTACTTTTGTCTCGTATTTAGAAGGATTTGTATCATGTTTCCTTCTTTTGCATGGCGAACATGTGGGGTTGTACTCATTTAAAAAGCTGTAATGTAAATAGTAAGCCTCCCACCAAAGCAAGGCTTTGGTTAAGCACTCTTGCCGTTTACCCAAATTTTCTCTGTTTATCACAGGAACCAAGCCCTCCACTTCTCGTGGTCGCATTCGTGAAGAAATTTTCAGTTAGTTCAGCGAGTCATCCCACAGGAAGATATCATCATTCATTATTGCATGAAACAGGTTCTTCATATTAGCCTCACAATGGGGGAACCAAAAGGGATATGCTTAGCTAGCTAGTTGGTCGGTTTCTCCTCGCTTTAAATCCCATTTAATACTTTGAGTGAGACCTTTGTAGTACCAGTTCGAGATATGGTTCGCCATAAATATGCCACAGCAGGTAGGACAGCCTATTCTGGAGGGTATAAGGTGTTCGAAATCATATTTTATGTACTCGAAAATTCCAATTCATTCTGAAACGGACTTTCGCATCTGTTCCCACCTCTCACGTTGGCCAAGGTGGGATAACAACTTATTCGAAGTATCTCTCTTGACAAACTTAAGTTCAAATCATTAAATTTCAAGAACCTAACTATTACCACCCTCATTTTCTTTTTATAAGAAAAATTTTCGAAAGGTCACTTATTCTTTTTTATAAGAAACGCCAACCACCTCTCTGTTATATATTTATTAGCATTCATTTTTATCCCCATTAACTATTATACCAATATACTCCTCCGATCCTTAATATAGGACCCAATTGTTGAGTTAGTTTTGGTCCTAAATGTAAGACCCATTTCTCATATTTATCAATTTTCTCTAAATTACCCCTATAGAGACTCCCTCAACCATAATCAAGTAGTAGAAGAAGATGGGGTATTAAGAAAGATGATTATGATATTTTAGGAAAAACATGTGACATTTCTTATAATTAACTAACTTACCTAACATCATTAATCTAATCAAATTAGTTAAATGGGTCTTATATTAAGGACCGGAGGAGTAACTTTTTTGGTCAACCATTGTACTCATATTAATTTCAAGAACCTAACTATTAACGAACATGAACCATTATTTACATGAGAGGGATGAAGATCCATTTTCAGAAAAATAATTTGCATTTCTCCACACTTTCAGTATATTACTTGATTTGATTATTTGGATTATGGTTATTTATAATATCTTAGCCCATACAATGTCTAAAAAGATATTGAGATGGAAACAAAATCATAATTTTAAAAATATTTTTACGATATACAAAATAAATACATAAAAAAAATTTGTCTTAATTTGTAAAAAAAATATATTGTTTAAAAACACTTGAATACCCCCAAATTGAATATGAAATGCGAAGGAATAAAGCTAGCTCGCAGTTCTACAAAAGTTGGTCGCAAAGCCATCACACGATATGGAAGAATTTAAGATCTGCTGGCATCCACTTGCCCCGGAAAAGGACCGTGGAAATTGACAATCTGACGTATACCGGTGGAAGTTATCTCATTCATTCACCATTAAATTCCAAGAATAAAATTGTTAATTATTAAAACTTACAGTCCATAAAATTGACTCAACCACGGGGGAAAAAAAAAAAACAAATCTAGCCGTATATTTCAAGACAGCCTCTTGGAAAAAATTAAAAATCAAATGCGAAATGTGAAAATGGACAGTTAATTCGCACTTGTCTTCTACAAAGTTCCTGCAACCAAACCCATCACCATATTAAGATAATCCACTTTCTAAGAAAACACACTGGAAATTCACAATCTAACCGAAGCGCATACTAAACAGAGCGGTGCTTAATATGATCGTAGCAGTTTTTAAAAGTTTAAACCACACATAAGCTATAAAATCCAGAAGCAATACAATAATGACACTGACACTACATATATTTGTGTGTATATATATAGTTAAGAGGATTATGTGAGATGAATAATCCCTTAATTATTGATTACATGAAAATAGGGAGTATGATCAGCTGATGAAGATGACGGAGGGATCGCAGCAGCACTCGTCGATGAGGCAGCAGCAACACAAGGCAGCAAGGCTGCCACAAAAAGAACAAGAAAACACAGATCATTATCCAGAACAAGAATTTTCTGTAAATTGATCCCATAATAATGTTCTTTTATAAGATGGTAAGCATAAATAATAAAGCGGGAGGTTTTACCATCCTTCAAGGAAACCAGCCTGTCTTTTGGGTGGCGGCGCAGCAGCATACTGCGGTGGTGCCATCACCGGAGGACCCTGATAGTAACCTAACACCAATTTTTTCCCCGCCAACAAAGTTATTGCAGAAAAAAAAAAAAGACCAAGCTAGAAACGAAAACTGTGATGGCGTTTTTAAAAGAAAGAAGAAACTGCATCAGGATATGAGATTATGAGGGAGGAAGAAGAGAAGTAGGTACCTTGATTAGGAGGAGGATAGGGATAACCGTACTTGGGGTCACTCATTTCTCAGTGAATCGGGGGAAAGGCACAAACTTTCTCTGTAGCGTTTTGTTGGGTTTAGAAGGCACCAGGACGATACAAAGTTTGGGATTTTATTGTGGGTTTTTGGCAAAGGTAAGCTTTCAATTCGCATGTTCCCCAGTTTCGACCTATATGTGTCATATTGCGTGTCAAGTTTTTCTTGTCCTCTCCCATTACGATGCTAGTTCCTTCCCCAGTGATAAGCATAAAATTTAATCATAGACTTGGTTTTAATTACAAAAATAAGATTTTAATTTATTTTATCTATTATTTTTATAATTTTTTAAACTAATTTATATAATTTATAAATCACTATAGTATAATCTAATGTCTCGTTAAAACTAAGTAATTTATTTAAATCTTTTTCATAAATATAAATTAGCTAGGTATAACTCTAACATTAACATGGGATGAATAGAATTTAGAAGCAGGATTACAGTTTTAAAAAAGAAAATAAGTAAAGATAAGTAATGTTAATATTACCAGATTACAATCAAGATTCAACCATATCCGATGGAGAACCATAGCTCCAGGAATTTGATTGGAGGACTCCCACTTTCGTTCTGGTCTGGGTCCACCCCACTGCGGCCCTTGACGGCGCCGTTAACGTTGAAATACGTGGAAAACAAAACGACGATTGCAACGAGACGTGTGGCAGATCAAGGTATGACGTGGAGGATTGCGTGACGGACAGGTGTCCAATTTTTAAAATTTGAAAAATTAAAATTAAAATAAAGACAAATTTATATTATATCCACCCGAAAGGAAAGAGTGAGCCGTCATTATGAATGTGGGCCCCGTGACAGCTCAGCTTGACCCTGATGTTGTATTGCGTAAATCGGGCGCCGCTTTATTACGGTGCTCCGTCCTAGTTTTTTAATAAAACGTTAATAACTAAATTACGATTTAAAATAATAAATATGTAAAAAATATTTTTTTTAAAATATGCTTTTATTTATAAAGCGTAGGTATGAAAGAGAATTGAGGAAATTAAAGACAAAAGTGATAAAAACACATTAAATGTTTAGACAAATATAAGTGGGGTCTTACAAAAAAAGACTAAAAGGGTATTTGAGAATTAGGAGAAGTGCTTTTTAAATGCATTTTTTTTAAATTGAGATAATCTCATCCACATATTTATTTCACATATCGTAAAATAACTTCTGAAACCATAATTTAATTTCCATCCAAACACCTTATAAGAAAACTTAAATTTCAGGTTCTTATAAAAAAGACCATAGGGAGTATTACCTATGCTTTGTTCTTTTTCCACCTTTATTAATTACTATTACCTATTCAGTATTACAACTAATTCTTAACATAGAAGTTAGATAACTAATTTATTAATATTATAGAGGTTAGTTAAGTTAGTTATTTATAATAGGTGAGTTTTTTCTTTACTAAAATGCCTCATTAATCATATGCATTGTAATAAAAATTCTTTACTGCATGTAATCTTCATGAAGAGTATTTTGGATAACAAATGAATAAATATAAAAAACAGTAAATTGAGATTTTATATTTATAATTAAATTGAATTTTAAACTAGTTTTTATATTTAGGATTGGAGTTGGTACTTGATAAAAGTAATTTTTATACCACCTCAAATAAAGTTTGAATAGCCTTTTATGGGAAAAAAACCATTTTAACATAAATTTGTTTAAATAATATATTAAAAATTGGTTTTAAAATATTTAAATTAAAAAAGCCTAAGGCCAAATACTAGAAATCAGGAAAAAAAATTGCTTCAACCTTAAAATAATTTATAAACATTTTTTTTTTCATGTGATTTGGACTCGAGGTGATTTTCATGGTTAAAAGTCAATTTAGAATAGTTCCAATGCCATCCCAAACAAGCTTTAATAGAAGGAAAAAATAATGCAATACGAAGAAAGTGGAAGAATAATAATGCAATGGGAAGATGGGAATGAAATAATAGTTTTGATTCTTTGTCGCCCTTCCAAATGCTTGTCTGCTTGACTTTAATGGCTGATGGGGCTGTGTTTGTTTCTCAAGGAAAAAAAAAAAAAAAAACCTCAAGAATTTGACCAAGAATGAAGAAACCTAACCCCCTGGCCATAGCTGGAAACCGCAAGAAATGGAATAGAAGGGGGGAGGCTTTATTTGGTTCGGTTTCCTATTTGTGTAGCCTTTGTTTGACATTCATACCTTAGCTTTTCTTGTATTTTATTTCATCTTTACGTCTTCCTTATTCTTATTCTATAAGAAATTGTTGAGGCCTTTTCCTTTTCCTTTTCCTAATACATTTGTATTTTTGAATACTCAAATCACATAGAATGGGGTAAGTGAGTGACGCTATGAAGAGGACCAACAATAGAGATCTGAAAATTATAGGAAGCCTCATGAAAGGGACGGTAGGAAAACATGGTGTTCCCAAAAAATAAAAAACTAATGAAGTTGGGTTCTTTTGCGTTGGTTTGCTTTCTTCACAACATCAGAAGTATCATATCATTTGATACTGCTTCAAATAGAATTATCTCTAATATAAGAATACATCTACTTAGCAAAAAAAAACTGTTTATAATGCATTGTTAACCATTTTATAAAAATCAAGAAAAGGTAGTTAAATCATTAAGAATTAGATAAACATGTTATACTCTTTCATTACAGTTGATAACCATGCAGATTGAATCCTAATGCCTTCTGGATGACAAAGCTTCTGCCCTATATTACTCTGAATATCTCAAATAGAAACTTCCAGGGAGGTTGGAATTTTCATCCAACCTTGCCAGTCCTCAGAATTTCGCTTCTGTTAGGCATTTCAATTTCTTTATTACTAAGCCTAATTTTACAAATCCCGATAGTTAGTTCAATTACGAAATTGATGAATTCCTTAGACTTTAAACCATTTGTCCTTTAAAATTTATTAAAGTAAATCAGTTTAAAAATCAAACAAGGATCTGATTTTTTTTTTCCCTTTTCAATTTACACAAAAAAAAAACATTATATTGTAAGATTAAAACAACATATTTCATAAATTTTTTGACCAGGGAACATATTTCATAAATTTAATATATAAAACAATGTCCTCATTGACTGTTAGAATGCTCATACAAATTATGAAGACCACAAGCCATGGGCCCACCCATGTGCTTTGAGGGCATTCTAGAATGTGGTTCAATGAGATGAGACACTGTTGCATGATATAAGCGAAATAATGAAAGAATTGATCCAATTATTTAAGAAACTATCAACATAATGGATGGCGTAAGCGTAACAATTATTAACTCCACTATCAATTTGGATTAGTTTCTTTAATAACAAATTACTACTTTCTGTCCTTAATATAAGAGTTAGTTAACTAATTTGAGTAAATTAAGAAAATTTGTTAAGTTAATTATTTTTAATAAATATATGTCATCTTTTCTGAAATATTATTGCTAACCATATGCATTGCTTACAACTATCATTTGAACATTTAACATGTCCAACTATTATAGGAACTATTTTAAAAAAATGAACAAATATAATAGACAAAATGGATTAAGGTTTTATATTTAGGACCAAATTAAAATTAAACTAACTCTTATATTAAGGACGGGGTAGTATTATCCGTGTCAATTTTTTTTTTGCCTCGAAATCAAAACCGTCTCTATGTGTTTGTATGTGTGCGGGATTAAAAAAAAAAAAAGTTAATAATCTCGTTGCTCATTAAAAGTCCAACCACTCCATTACAATTTCCCTTCTCGCTTGTTTTTCTAATGGAAAAGGGATTGTAGACATTACAATCGGCAATTAGACTAATTCAAATCAATCAGAGAAGAATAGAACAATAAAAAAAAACCAGCAAAGTTCTACTGCATTTTTTTATAACTCTTAACTCAAAACCTCTTGTTAAGTTGATATATCTCCCTATCAGTTCAATTTTCTATTATAAGCACTGATACTATTCTATTGGAGCCAATCAGGTTCGACTTATTGTTGAACATTGAATGTGAATAACTCTTAGCAGGAATTTAAGTATTAGTTTACCACATTATGAATAATTAACCCCTTCTGCTAGATCAATTCCTTCCCTATCAGTTGAATTAAGTGCTTGATACTAACAATGGGCGACATTTTTTCTTCTTCTTCTTGTTTTGTTTTGTTTTTCTTTTTATTGGTTATTTGAGCTCTAAGAGAAAAGTTAGTGAAGGATATGGGATTAAACTTTTTCTTCGGTATAGTTATGGGCTTCAGGTTTATTTCAACAGAATATACCTGATTTGAGGCCCGTTTAACTTGGTTCACTTGGCCCAGAGAAAAAATTAGCTCACAAAATCAGCATCAATAAACTCCTGAAAAAAAAAAATGGCGCTAGTACGGTCTGCGAAAAACTCGTCGCTCGTTCCCCCCAGTGCCGAGGAAGATGATCTTTTGTTGAGGAGCTCCAAGAAGATAAAGAATGCTCCTTTTCTTCTAAGAGAAGGATCAAATACAAGTGAATGGCCAAGGTTAGGGGAGAAAATGACACCAAGGCAGAATACTGGTGTGTCTTTTGCTGATACGCTGAAGGGGGTTAACAGCCAAGATGAGAAATCAGATGACAAAGGGGAAAAGGATGATGATATGTCTGATGATACACTATCTGAAAAATCGCAACAAGAGTTGGAAAATGAGAAGGTCGAACCTCCAGTACGCGTAAGGGAAGATCCTCACAAGAACTTTCCTACGTTCCATTTCTCTGGCAGAGTTAAGAAAAGGTTATATAGAGCCTGGAGAAAAGCTGTGATAGTCAAGTTGCTGGGAAGGAGCATTGGGTACAAAGCGCTGGAGTCCCGTTTGCAAACTGTGTGGGCGAAGAAAGGAGTCATTAACCTTATTAACATTGGGCACGGTCATTTCGTAGTTAAACTATCAAACAGAGATGACTATTTCAACGCCCTCACCGGAGGTCCTTGGATGGTCTATGACCATTACTTAACTGTAAGACCGTGGGAACCAAAGTTTAGTCCAGCAAGAGCTTCTATTGACAAAGTTGCAGTTTGGGTGAGGCTTCCGAGACTCCCTTTGGAATATTATGATGAGGAGGCTTTAACAATCATCGGGAATAGAATCGGTGAGACTGTTAGAGTGGATATGAATACTTCCTGCCAGTTAAGAGGGCATTATGC